GGGTAATACTCCACACATGGATTCGACTGTAAAATAGTTTTACAGATTAAATTTTCGAATACTGTGTAAAATCACAAGCAGCTGTATAATAAATATAATCTGTTTTTCACAGGTATTTAATTCACAACCCCTCTCTCCAAGATACTTACTTTTGGTAGTAAGCACAAGCGGATCTACGGGAGGGTCTTGCGGGATGATTATAAGCAATGCTTGAAGTACTGTTTGAATCTGAAATACACACTATTTCGAAAACATGCAAGTTTGAATTCCTTGTAATCATCAGAGAAAAAAATCTGGTGTGTCCACTCACACGACTTTCCTACCTATGTCAGAAAACTTTTTATATCTTTTCATATGTCCATCAAGAAACCAAAAAAAAAATCGAAATAGATTTGTTTTCCTGAAAAAGATTTGAGTACAATTTATTTGATAAACTAAAGCAATCAATGTAAACCGGCTTAAGGTAGATCAGGGTCAAAATTTTAATACCCTCTAATATTGCTCATCAAAAACATTTTACCTATGGAATAATTTTGTCAAACAATAATTTCTGTTAAAAGTACACCATTACAGGTGCGGATAGATAGTGAAAGAGAAAATAGTGATAGAGGTAATAGTTGAGCTTGTTATGGAGCTTGTGATGCAGGCAACAGATTTTCTTAATATGTTATCTTTTTCCTCCCATTCATCCCTTTCTGACATCAGGATATGTACCCGTAATCATTCATTGGAAATTGAATGGCAGTAACTCTGTTAATAGTTTTTCCAAAATGAACGATTTTTTTTTATTTATTTTTTTTTAAAAGACTGTTAGAACATTATAAGAAAGTTTCATCAAAATCGTTAGAGTCGTTTTCGCGCTACAGTCCATAGAAAAACATGTTTTTAATTTATTGCGCAGCAGCTATTGCGCATGTAGCACCCAATTTCTGCCACAGGCATCAGTAGTCAAAACCCCACAAAATAAAAAAAAAATCAATAAAACCGGTTCTGTAGTTCCCGAGAAAATCTTGGCACAGACAGACAGACTAATGACTAGAAATGTGTTTTTCGGACTCAAGGTGCTCTGAAACGTATAGATTCGTCGGAAATTTGACCCGATCGCAATACTTTCCTTACCTAGTATAGGTAGCAATGTAAAAATGAGAAGCGAAACTTTATACAAAAAATCTTTTAACTTAACAGGTTCAGACTCTTTGACTAATCAACTTACACAACTTTGCAGCTCTCGTGTTTAATACTATTAAAAACATTAAAGTTTCCTCGTGTTTCTATAAAATGTAAGCCAATATTTCGTGTTGCATGCTAAGCTGGAACGGAGCTATGAAGGTTTATTGTGATTCGCTTTTCAAATGTCAATCGCACACATAAAAGAACGTTTTATTGCTTTATCGACATTTCAACTATATTTTTATAACCTAATATAAGTCATGACTATTTTAGTTTTTAAATTTTTAAGAGATCTCAATACAGATTCATAACAAAATTCATATAAAAAGTTATGTACATGTTTTCTGATATTGATATTTTTTTGTGCAATTCAAAACTTAAATTAAACGCATAAAAACTTCAATTAATCCACAAAAAAAAAAAAAAAAAAAAAAAAATATATATATATATATATATATATATATATATATATATATATATTTAAATATGTATGTATATAAAATCTTTTACATTATCTATAATATATAGAGAGCATCTCAATAAAGTTGAATATAATGTAATTATGAAATATAGCAAATAAGACTTCATCGGAATTTTAGTATTGTGCAACGAATACAATTCGTACGAATTAAATTTCAACAGAAAGAGCCTACCTCAATTTCTTATTAGGCTTCGTGACAATATTTTCCAGAAAATTTAAAAATAAATTAAACTATAAAAACTCTACTTAAAATTAAGTGAAAAATTTAAAACGGTTTAAAAAATAATAATAATAATAATAATAATAAGGCTTAGCGAACCCGAAGGTTCGATGCCGACACCACCAATCGCTTGTTACACACCTCCCTCCACCGTTCGCCGTCCAAACCCAGTCCCTTCAGATCGGCTTTAATACAATCTTCCCACCTTCGCTTCGGTCTACCCCTCGGACGCTTACCATTCGGCACAGCAAATATTAACCTTTTAGGAATTCTCTCGTTACTAAGCCCAACAACTTTACAAGCCCACTTGATTCGCCGCGATGAAATTACCTCAATTATATTACCCGGATACAGCTCACGCAATTCGGCGTTGTGTAACCGTCTGAACTCTCCGGTTAACTCATCCTTCTTCGGTCCGAATATTCTACGCAATACTTTATTTTCAAAAACCTTAAGACGCTGCTCATCCCTTAATGTAAGCGGCCAAGTTTCGCATCCATAAAGAACTGTAGGCAAGATAATTGTTTTATAGATTCTAATTTTTAAGTTTCGGGACAAGAGGCGCGAACTGAGTAGTTTTGTCACAGAAAAATAACAAGCATTCCCTGCCTTCAGTCTAACTAGGTTTAAAAAAATAATCAAAACATATAAAATGGTACCTATCGGATTATTTAATACCAAAGAAATGTATTAAAATGAATAAATTATTGAACTTTAAGTTGGATTTATTTTCATCAGATCACAAACAAAAATCCGAAATTCTAATATTAAGTTCATTTAAATTTAACCTTAGAACACTGATAACGTGAGATCTACATCTTCTGAAACAGAATTTTGATGTATCAAAATAATTTTTCATAGCTATAATTTTTATTATATATACGGATCTATTGGTTTATTATTTTCAATAATCAACCATTGTGATCGACCGAAAAATTCAAAAACTTAATCCCCTCTCAAAATTTGAGGTTTCACGTTTCAGAATGCGTAGAATTCGAAAAACGAACATTATTGTCCGTCCGCCGTCCGCGCATTTTCTCCGAAACTACTGGACCGATTTTTTTCAAATTTGGATATAAAATCAGAGCTCAGTACCGATACAGAGAATGTAGCAATTTCAATGAAACTTCTCTAAAATTATTTTCTCTACGCCCTTTAAATTTATTTATATAATATACTTCAACGAAAAGAAGCTGGAAAAAAAGTTACGAGGGATGGTAAAATTTAATTCCGAATAACTCAAAAAGTATACATTTTTTTGGGGATGTTGTGATAAAATGTTTCAAAGGTATTTAAATTTCCAAAAAAATGAAGCCAGTTTCATCGAAATCAAAGCACTATTAGCAGAGATTTTGTATGTATTATGATAAATTATCAGTTATACATCACTGACTAGGTGACATTGTAAAACTGGTTTATATATTTTTCCATCAGTGATAATTAATTCAATGTATCGTCATCACCATGATAATGTAACGAATGTGGTCCTTCACATTAGTTGCACATTAGTTACTATAACATAGCGCCGACGATTTGTGCATTGCTGGAGTTAGCTGCCATCATTAATATATAGTTTATAGGCAGAAAACCATAATTTTACTAATTAAACTATTATTTCTTTTTAACACCATAGCGGTCGAACAGTAGCTATTATTATTTTATTTCTCCTCCGCCCCTCCCCCCTCCTCTGCCGTTAAGGCAATACGAGCGTTTTGAGTAGTGAGTGATATATACGCTAGTTTGCGATATAGACCACTATTTATCAAATTATTAACACTTATCTTAAATGTCGTGAGTGGCTCATTTTATCGTAAGCTACAATTTTTTTATCTACCCAATACTCAGAGGGTGACCTGATTGAAACAATTAACTTAATGAGGTAATAAAAAGTAATGAATACTCATTAGCTTTTCACTCGAATCGTTTACAGAATAGAGATAAAAATATCTAAAAGATCTACAGGAACATTGGGCAGTTTGACCTATATTGCTTCGTTATTTTGACATATAAGGGAGTAAGTCACGCTAATTTGGAAGATATTTTTGTAGGCCACGCTTTTTTTGGATTGTGTGATTATCTTATGATATAACTGAAAAACATATTGGTGTTCATGGGTTTTAGTACGTCATTCAATTGACAAGTTGCTGATCTGCAGTTTGATAATGTCCGATTTCCGAAGATTTTCAAAAGTAAATTAATTTTAGAGTACGGTCTAATGAAGCTATTCCTGAAGATTTAGACGAATATTAATAACTAGTAGGCCCGTGCGAAAAATTCGATTATTGTTATCAAATCGCAAATTAATAAGAAAAGAAAATAATGCAACGCATCAAAAGAAAAAGTAATCAATTGTTACTTTATCGATAAATATAATCGACAAAGGAAATAAAATTAATTTAAATCTTCATTTTTGTTTGGAACCAACATATTTACAAATTTCAATAGGCTGTATCTTTGCGAAAAATTGTCCGATTTCAATGATTTTTTTCTACCTTTTGTAGACAATTAAGTAATGTTTTATATAATCATGGGAATAACCAAGGGAAAAGTTTGTAATTTTTTAGTTATTCGCAAATAAAGTTTCTTTTCTTTCATAACTTGTTTGCCTGAATTTTCGGGGTGATTGGACTATTTTGCACGTCTGAAGGAGAAGGAAGCCTTCGACATTGGTTGCTCAATCTTGAGATTTGGTGAAGAATTAACGATGATATGGCTTGCCGATCAAAAACACCATCGATAAATAATATAAACTCCTCCTGTCTCGATCATAGAGACCTCAAGTCGACGAAATGATGTATCCAATGACAATATTACAATTAACGTCACGTTGTGTGAATGCGAACCCCATGCCTTGCGTTATCTCGAAAATAGTACGTTTTGGGACTTAAAAACGCAGGATCCGATAGTTCCGGAGGAACTATCGGGGTCTTGCTGTATGCATCAAAATCTTCAAGGTCCAATTTGTCCCGCATCCATCTATAGACCTATCACCGTTCCAGTATTGAAGCCTAGCAAAATGTTTGTGTCGATTTTATTTATTTTAGAAAGAAAAACAAAAGTGGAGAATACGATTCGCTAACCCACCGTGAAATTCTGAATTCAACGGTACCCCATTCATGGTATTTGAGCATGACAGGAGCTTCTATTTGGTACAAAACCAATTTCGAGCCTTACTGTAGTAATATATTATGTGGAGATTTCTATTTGTTTACATCCGAATCTGAATCTGTTTATATTATGTTAAATAGCGGTGTACACTGCCTGATTTTATTCATTCTTCAGTTTGGCCTCCTTGTGCCCGACGGGCTGCCTGTAAGGCTTCTTCTCTCCCACCCAAAGTGAAGTGGGATGGACTCACAACTTCTTCCCGCATACACACACTGAAAGTGCGAGCAGCTCAGTTCAGTCATTATTTTAAATGTGACGAACAAAAATTATAAAAAATATTAATCTGTTTTGAAATTAGTGTTTAATATAAGTTGCTTTTCGGTTGCAGACTGGTTCCCCGGCTGGCGAGGAGAGCGGAACAAGCAGCCCAACGACGACGGGTTCAGCGGACAGGACTGCCTCGAGCTGAGGAGGCTGTATACCCACTCTTCGGGGGCCACCCTCACCGCCAGCTACCAATGGAACGACAGGGACTGCGCCACTCCCAACTACTACATCTGTGAGGCCCTTCCAAATGGTGGTAAGCTGCCAACTTCTACTCAGTACAGTCTAGATAGGGGTCATCCCAGCACTGTACTGAAAGAGATTACCAAAACCACTGCAACTAGGACTAATAGGACAGGAAATGGACCAATGAAAGTCAACTAGACTTCCTCACCCCCTACACCATCTCATGTTTTACTTAAATTCCACCCAATATTATTCTTTGCACTTACTATATTTCCATCTACTCCACTAATCCCAGTTGAACAGATCCGCTACATAGGACTGTTTCTGTACAAACATCTTACTTGCAATTCCCATAAAAGACCGAAACAACAAGAAACTGCGTTTCTGTTTACTTCAACACTTATTAGATAAAAAAAACTCATTTACTTAACTTCAATTTGCCCTATTTGGACTTGTGGAGTTGAGATAAAGGGCTCCACTAAACCATCAAATTCCACTCGTACCCCAACTTTACAATCCAAAATCCTCAATTCTCCTTACTTTGCCATAAATAAAATTGTCCTAAGTGACATTAATATTCAATATGTTTGTCGATTTAGACCGATTTAACCAAACTGCAGGCTTCCAAATCCATTAGTTTCTAACCTTGCATACTCTTCAATTCCTGACGACCCTCCTAGACTTCTGAAAAGAAGATAGCCTCGGGACTCTTTTCACATATAACTATAATTGGAGGGCTGCCAATGGGTAGTTTCTCTTCTGAGCATGTCATATACCAATTTCACATTTACATGTTATATATTCAGTTAATACAGTTGTTAATTTCAATAAATAAATTTAAAAAATATATCCATCAATGTCTGCTATGTAATCATTCCAGATAAAATGCCCTCGGAGAAGGACATGTGGAGATCCGAGTGCAACAGGACCTTAACCCTGACCATGGAAGAACCTGTGACCGTGGTGACCTCACCGGGGTTCCCTGACCACTATCCTGACGACACCATCTGCCTCGTCACCATCAGCGCACCATCGGCTTTCACAGTCCTCGTCGAATTCGAGGAACTGGTTTTGGAGAAGGAACCAACGTGAGTAACGATTAACAATATAAGTCACAGAAATTCGATATAACCGATTGAAACAGTTATTTTACTCAATGTTATTTATGAAGAATTTCCTTTCTTCATAATACTGCTTTTTATTTTTGTTTTCATCTAATGTATAAGGTACGATGGATTAATCGTGGGAGGTTTACTGAAACTTGTTAAACTTGATAAGGTTAAATTCAGAAATAAAAAATGTTAGAAGTATTTAGTATTAATATTTCATGTTCTGTATTTTTAAATCAGTCATTGATTAAATACAGGTACAATTTTATATCACCTCAGATTTTTACTTCATCTACTGGAACCATGAACTATCTTCCTTTCACAGATTTTCACAACCTCTTGCGTTTTAAAACATTCTTGGTATGTTCCCATAAGGTTCCATCGTTATTGCAGAGGCTACTAAAGAAGCATCCTAGTTTGATTGATTTTTTTATTTGACATCCAAGTTCTTTGTTTAATCTGTTAAATTTTCTTATGAAAGTTTGTTAGTTTGCAGAACCTTATGACTCTCTTTAGACTCTTAAGGCTTTGATAAAGTCTCTCGTAAACTGGAGATGTTTTGGCAAATTCTTTAATTTTAATAGAAAGGATTGAGATGAAACCCATAATTCTATTCGGAAACTTTTGTTAAATCTTACCCATTCTACACACCAGTTCTGTTTTAGTTGCAATAGCACCTGGGATTGAACTTTTTAAGTGCTAAAATACGTTGTTAAAATTATTTTGTAACTACTAATACCCAATGGACTGATAAGAGCTCGTATTTTTTTATTTTATTTAGGCCAGATGTAATATTTTAATTGTTTACTATTCTGTTATTCTGAAGGAACTTTTTCCCAAAATAAATTTATTTTCTATTTTATTCTATTTGTAGTGTAAAATACAAATTTTGGTCCTTTAGTGGTAAAATTTTTTTTTAAAAAGTTAATTATTCTAATTCCATTAAAGTAATTATTTTACTTAAAGTAAATAATTATACTTAAATAAACAACCCCATTGCAAAAACTATTAGATATTGTCCTACGTAAAAAAAAACATGTATGTGAATTCTAAAATTATACTCGTATTTCGCACTCGTTTTAAACATTACAAATTTCTTGTTATCCACATAATGAAATATTGAAGTATTTTTTCCCCTTTTTGTTGGTACAAAGCTTTGATTTTGCTCTAGAAACATTATTTCTATTGTTTTAAACACTTTTGATTGTTTTAAATTAATACTAGAAATTAGACATAGAACGTTTATTATATTGTAGTTGATTTCATTTTGACTCTACACTAAGATGATCAACCAAATGGAAATTTTTAAATCTAATAGTTTTTCTCCCTCAGTTGAAATTTTCTCCAAGTTTCATAGATAGTAAAGTCATTATAACAAAAGTTTCATAGATAGTAAACAGAAATAAAAGATAAAAACGTTTTTATGGAAGGAATCAAATTAATTTGCGAAAATGGCTATTTCTCCTATAATAATAATTATTACAAAATGAAAAATGGTCTACCGATGGGCGGATGTATGTCAATCAATCTTTCGGGCATATATCTGAACAATCTAATAGATAATGCTATAATTAAATGGGGAAAAAAACCGAAGCTTATTATAAAATACGTTGACGATATACTTGCAATAATAAATAAAAATGAATCTGTTAATTTTCTTGATAAACTAAATGATATATCAGATAAACTAAAATTCACAATGGAAATTGAGAATAACAACAAAATAAGATATCTTGATATGTATATTCACAGAAACGAAAGCGGCGATCTTAGCACGGCATGGTGCAAAAAAACAATAACTAGTGATAGAATCCTAAATTGGCACAGTAACCACAAGAAACATATAATAATTAACACAGCTAAAAATTTAATAAATAAGGCAAAATTAATAACAGATCACAATCATATAAAAGAAATCAAAGCACAAATATATCAAATTCTATTAGAAAATTGGTACCCCATTCGATTAATAAATAAATTATGGTATAAAAATAAAAAGTTAATTATAAATGACAATAGTAACAAACAGATTATTGATAATAGCGATGATAGGAGTGAGAAAGTGAAGCAAAATATTAAAATTAATAAAGAACCGAATTTAATAACAAATTATTTTAAAACTGAAAATGCAGTAAAACAAAAACCTTCCATGAACGATATACATGACATTAAGACACAAATTGATAAATGTAATGGGAACAAACAACAACCTAAAAAATATTTTAGCGTCTCATATATTAGAAACTTAACTGATAAAATTGAAAGAACATTTAAACAATACGATGTAAATGAAATTAAATTTGCAAGCTAACCAATTAATAAATTAGATACAATTTATTCGAAAACTAAAGATAAAGTACCTATCGATAAATTAACGAATATTATTTATAAAATAAATTGTAAAAATTGCAACAACAAAGCATATTTTGGACAGACATCCCAATGGTTTGAAAAAAGGCTTAAACAGCATAAACAAAATTGTAATTCAAAAAACACAAAAATTAAATTAGCCACTGGACTCTCGCAACATAATATGCAAACTAAACATGAATTTGATTTCAAAAATGCCAAAATCCTACATAATGAAAGAAATACGAATAAACGTAGAATTAAAGAATCAATATACATAACTAAAAACTTAAAAAACTCAGTAAATAATCATACAGACGTGGATAATATGAATACTTTTTACGCTAGTTCTATTGAAAAAATCAAAATTTGAAATAAATCAGCTAATATTACTTAAAATAGATCCACATGTAATATTAAGTAACAGCATTAGATATGTTCATAATAAATAGTCTTCCCCTACTCCTATAAGAATAACCAGTCACTGAATAGAAATGAGATGGATGACATATGGGTGACTCAGAAACAAGGTAAATTTAACTTATTTTGAATCATTTAATAGTAAAGAATTGAGTAATAATAATGTTGTTAAATAATTAAAGGTGAACATGACAATAATAAGGAATTTTATTATGAGTAGACGCTTGCAATTCGCATAAGTGAAAATGACAGGTACATGATGAGTATTTTAGGTACATAATAAGTATCTTTATAATTTGAAATATGTTAAAGTTAATATATGATTGTAAATGAAAAATTTTTTAGACTTGAAAATGGCTCGACGAGCCGAAACGTCGTCATTTTGATGAGTAGTCATTAAGTGACAAAAATTTTTTTAAATTGGTGTAAATATGGCTTATAATAAATTAACTTGAAAATAGATAGTAAAATCATTTACCTATTGCATTCTGCATTCCCATTAAAATTGCACAGATTCGAACCCTCATATTAATTGCTTTGAAAAAAGAAATATCCTTCATTAGTGGGAGTGAACTTGGTCGAGATGTTCCGCGCCAAGCGGCTTTTCACCTGCTAATTGCGTACGCGGAAAGTGATTGGTTATTGGATCGGATAGTTTTTCCGCCAATTAGTTCCTTGGTTTCCATCTCTTGTAATTTTTTTTTTTTTAATTTATTCATCCCAATCCTCTATGTTATACTTTTTTGTGTGTTATGAAAATATATTAAAAATTTTTTTGATATTCTTGAAACGAGATATTTTTCACCAGGTCTCATTTATCAATACCTTAGCACACCAACCCGAGGGAGTAGAACCCTCAAGCTTGAAAATAATCTCAAGAAATAAATGAATCCTCTCATAAGACGAACAGAGTACAGGCCATTCTAGAGGGATCATCAGGAACAGTGATAAAGGGTTTGGTCTTTTATCGTCCCTCAATGTCAGGAAATATGGATGCCCTCAAAGCTTTACAAATAGGACGGCCGTTATTTCAAGCTTCCTGTAAAATTTTCTACCTTACTTTTTTTTTCTTTTTTTTTTTGTACCGAAGAAGTATTTATTATATCAAAGTCATTTTATAAATTTAGCTATTTACTAAATGTAAATAATATTGGATTTATCACGCTCTGATGAAGACCTAGAAAGTGGTTCGAAGCTAATAAAATACTATTCTAGTTTATATTATTTATTTGACCGCACTCCCAACCAACTCCTCATATAAAAAATAATTTTTCTTTCCGGGAAAAAATTTTAATTTCTTTAAAAAAAAAATTAAAAGTCTACTGACAGACCGAGTACCAAATTGTAGCATGAGTGACTTCGATGGGGTCCTCCCGTTATAATAAATGGAGTTTTTAATTAACTTAAAATATTTTCCTTTGGTAAATTCGCTATCGTATAAGATTATTATAATATAATATAAAGTTACTATATCGTTGGTAACTATAAGCAATGATTATGGAATAGTGTTCCTTACAAAAATTTAAAACAAAATATCTTTTATGTTTTATGGTTATTATCGTTTCCCTCAATTATCAACCTAATATTTGGCTTGAACTACGTGTAGTAGTCCCTTTCCTAAAATGAATATCCTTCATCCTGATTTATTTGGCCTGTAGTTATATTATTTATGGGGTACTCCGACTTCCGTGCGAAGGGTCTGTAGTCGTAACATCCGCTACCAGCATGAATCATTCCGTTATGTCTCGGTCACGTCCTCCGAAATGGAACCTCCCTCCGATCAGCGACCTTTGCCCTTTTGATGTTAATGCCTTTAGCCTCAACCTCACTAAATCTATACAACACTACATATCATTTTCATGCCAACAGATATAACACATTTCGCGCTGTACGAAGAGGTAAATATCCTCAATATTCATTCGTAGTAAGCATATGCATTTATCAATATTTTATTCGATCCCTCTGTTTATTATTAGATCATCCCTTTGAAGGGGCTAATCATGATAACATTAGAAAAACGGAGTAGACATTTTTTTTTTTTTTATTTTGTTTCAATTATTCAAATAAATCTGGGTATATTGGTAATATTATAAAATTATGGAGCGAGCGAAAGTAAATAAATCAATAAAAAATTACTCTTTTTTCAGAATGATTTTTTGTAATGTAAACGTACAATGATAATTTCAATGCAACTCTTATAAATTCTCTATAAAA